TCATTACCGCTGGTGGTCGACCTGTGAGGACCCTCAGTGGGATAAGACACCAGCGGAACACAATGACCTATGCTTTTGAGAATGGGCGACTGCGCGTTGATATTAATAAGAGAGGTTCCGAATATGAGTCAACACGTGAAACACTGGTGACTTCAGCTGTGAATTGAGAAAGAAAAAAAAAGGTTTTGCTGCCATCAATAGCTTCTGCACGAGCGCTAACCGTACAGATGGTGGTAAAGTGGTCTTTATGTTTTCCCATAGAAACCTTTTGCAAAAAAAAATAATAAAACGCGACTTGACATCTAGCTCTCCAGTAGTGTTTGTTTTCATTAGCAGTTTGACAGCTTCCAGGTTGGCCCACGCTGGGGTACCCCTTTGTACGCCGAATAAATTGTTGAGCTCATTTGATCTACCATAGTCTTGACATTCTTCTTTTACTAGCCAGGATCTAGGTCTGTCCGTGTAAGTTAAACGCCGGGGCTCTCACGGCTATGATACTTCATTTGCGCCATTTTGTGGACACTATCGATTCGCAAGTAGGTCTCAGATAATTCACTCAACTGGCTCAACGTACGGACTCCTTGCATCAGGATTGTTGCTACGTTGGTTTGCCGCCAACCGAACGATGGAAGTCGCATACTTGCTGAGGCGAACTGTATAGATAAAAAAACACTAACTTTCCAGATAACGCAGAGTGCGTAGTCCAGTTTCAGACTGAGTCGGGCAGAATCTGGCGCCAGTTGGGCAGTACGTGACATAAAGAATGTCTGACGGAATCCCCGTAACTTTTCTTTGGTGTGCTTTGGAATTTATCGTAGCTTAGTCGGAACCGCAGATAGACCAAATGTCATGTCAGCCGTCGGCAAGTACCGTAGTCTCATCGAGTCCTGTCGCTAAGTGGTAGAGAGAAGCTCGTCGTACAGGGTTGGTTTTTGCCGCGGCTGTGTCGGCTTTATGCTTTTTTTTTTTTTTTTTTTGCCAATCGGCAGAATCTGCGAAATAATTCGGCTTTATCGGCATCCATTATCCGGACAATATCCGAACAACAGGCGCAATGACCGCTTGCTCACGAAATTTTAACTCTAACTGCTGTCGCTGCTTTTCGTGTCAGAGTGAGAAGGGCTGGGAAAATGCGAGTCCAGCTATACATGGAGGCCTGCGAAGGTGGCAATAAATAAAGCAACATCAGACCTTTGGCAAAGAAGGGCTCCATGTCAATCGAAGCCAATACCCCGTGACCTGCTTTATTTATTTACAGTGAAATTTGATTTGTATTACACTGTTGGGGCTTGCAGCACACGTAAAGAACATAAAACATAGCGGTGATAAAGTGCATAACCCAAAATTCTGGTCTGTCTACGTCTAGATAAACGTCAGGGGCAGACTACTTTCAATGGGGTGCCTTACTATCAGGCAAAATAGTGTGGTCAAGACAGGTTCCAGACGGTGTGTCTTCTTTCGTCCCACGAGCTCGTACTACAGCTGAATATTTGTACCTCGAAGCACCACCGATAGCCGAATAGGAGTGATTCCATGCTCCGTATAATAGTATCCGATTTTGTGTTTCTACAAAATTGTATACGTAGTATACCGCAACATTTTTCGATTGCGATAGCGTCTGCAAATCGGCCAGGAAAATAAAGCCGATGCCATCGGCAAAATGCAACCTTGCGTCGTAGACAGCGACTTCAGGCCGCCTTTCTTGCAGGCCCTTGAATGGTGTCTTGAGGTTTCTTTGCGACACAGACGCAGAACTAAGCGCCCCCGTATTAGAGCACTTCTAAATGGCAGGTAGATCTAACTACATGTGGCGTGAACAGTGTACTGATGTACTGGTTCAGAGACGTCACGACTTTGCTCTACTTGGCAAGTAAATGTGCATATACACTCATTGCTCATGCAAGGAGACAAACTGCACGCTGCTGAATTAATTTCTCACTTAGACAAGAAGAACTGATCTGATTGTAGTGAGCACAGCTGTTTTAACGTTGCATTCTGTAATTTCGGTCGTGTCTTGTAGTGCGGCAAATTTGCGCTAAGTAGACGCTAAAAAGAAAAGCGATCTAATATTCCATCGAGCAAAAAACCTATGGTCTCCCGCTATGTTTGATGTATATCGTCAGTACACCATTTATTAATAGCTAATGAAGCTTGAACATTAAAAAAATGGAGAAATTTTAAATTTTATCCTAAGCTGTGCTCATCTCATCGTCGATTCATAATTTGGTACGAACGTGAATGCGCGCAAACAAACCGGATTAGCCACGACAAATCGTACCTGCTTATCCTAACAAGGCTCAATTTTGCCAGTTGAAATCGTGCAGGCGATGCAGCGATTTCGGCGTCGAAAACTCGAGCCAGGCTTCTACCTTCTTCAAAGTGCTACATGTGCATGCAGGGGCGTGTACCAGAAGGGTGAGGATAAAGAGAGAAAGAAAAGATCGATCTAGTGCGATGAGTCGTGCCGGGGCCAGCGCGAGACTTCGACTCATTTTCAATTCCCCCTTCTTCTGAAAACACGCAACAACGATGAAAGCAATCTTCCAAGTGCTTATGACGGTGGCGCTGGGCGCGGGTGTCGCTACCGCTTTGGAGAACGGCGTTCAGTTGAGTCAGACGTTCGGTGGGCCTCATGGCACGAAATACTCGGACTTGGACATCGCCTCGTCCGGACAAACCGTGCAAGCCATCACTATCCGCACTGGCGAGCGCGTCAATGCCGTCAGCCTCGATATCACCGACCCGTCCGGTCAGAAGTCTACCTTGTACCACGGCGGCGGCGGTGGTGACCCCAACACACTCACTCTCGGCGCAGGTGAGTTCATCACGGGCATTGAGGCACACTGGGGCGAGAAGGACAGCCACACACGGATCAAGTATATTCAGTTTACCACGAGCTCGGGCAAAACGATCTCTGGTGGCAGTCCCACGAAGGATATCGGCAAGGATTCAGCTCCCGCGGGCTACCAGCTAGGTGGTTTTGTTGGCACTTGTGGCAAGGAACTCGACTCGGTGGGTGCCATTTGGACGAGTATTACTCCGGTGGCGTAGGCGTTTGATGATATGGTGTATGTTACAGCGCACCGTATTAAAATGTGAAGTCAAATCTGATGAGTTGGCATGTTGTCAAAATTACCTTTTCTCGTTTAATTTTGGTAGTAAGCTTTACTATACTGGTAAACTCTAATATACCTCTTTTATCGTCGAAGTAATGTACATTAATAGCCGCAGAAAGTAGAACTCGGCTACGCGGGATCCACCAGGCTCGATAAATCCGCGCTGAAAGACGGACACAAGGGCGGGTGGATTGGTTAGCATGACGTCTGGAAAAACGTGAACTGACTAAGAGACAGGTCCCTATTTTGGAAATTCATACATGTCCTTCATTTTCAGAATTTATTATTGATTTTCTCATACAGAAAGGGAGGGAGGGAGAGGGGGGGGG